AATGAGGAGATATGACCCAAACTTATATAAAACTTGTCATCCTTTCATCACTGATGACATTAAGCTTTATGCAACTTAGAGTCATTTTTCTATTTATCAAAAATGATGCATAAACCATTAAATTGTCTCTTTTAACCTGATGCATTTATATTTTTGCTCTAAATTACATTAATAGATTTTATACTTTGTACTCTTCATAAAAATATATGTCATTGATTTTAACCAGAAGTTCAGATTGATATCTGATACTTTAAATCTCCCAGTTTTGTTAGATTCTGAAGGACAAAGATTGACATTGCTTGTATATTAGACCAATAGGTAAGACCCATGAAATATAAAACTATAAAAAATGAGATAGAGTCAATATTCAACTATCTAATCAATGCAAATTATCTATCTATCTAGATGTAAGAACTTTTATCCTGCTTCCTTTTCTATGCTTCATGCAATTCTTGGTTACCTCAGTGCTTTTTATATAAATGCCACGCTCTCCACTTCACTTTCCTGAGCATATTTCATGAATGCAGATAATTACTTTGTTTAAAGTTTTATGGTCTGTATTAGTTACACAGCTTTTGGTTGTAAGAAACTGAAATACTAACATAAATTGACTGGAAAAAAGTTGGAGGGGAGATGTATTCACTCATATAAATGTCCAGGTCAGTAGATTTTGCTTCGGACAAAGCTTTAGAACTCAAATGATGTGGACAAGAGTGTCCCTCCCTCTATCAATCTCCTCCTGTCCCTAGCTCTCTCTTTTTCTTCCTCTATTTTTCTTTCTCTCCCTCCCATCACTCACTTATACCTTCCTTGTTGGCTCCATTCTTAGGTAAGGCTCTACATTTAAGGTCCCAAAAAAGCTACCAAAAGATCCTAAGGCTACATGCTTACTTGTTCCACCCCAGTATTAAAGTGAGTCATTGCTAAAAGTCCACAAATTGAGTCTAGTCCCTGTTGGGATAGAATTAGATCTTAAACCAAGCATGAGAATACACTTGATATAACATGTCGATAAACTTGAGCTAATCGGGAGATATTTCTATAGCTTAGATTATGGTTAAACTTACTTGCACTACATTACTGGGTAATGTTGGCAGCAGTTCAACATGGGAGAGGGTCAAAAAATTGCAAAGAAAGCAAACATGACAGGCAAATTTCACTACACTGTTGTCTGGACTTTAGAGAATTCTGATTCAATGTTTATATAGGGTTAAATAGGTAAGAAATAATTAGTTGATTTGCACATATTTAATGTACTCGTGTAAACTTCTGAGTGAAGATGTTCCTGTACTAAAGCTCAAGGCTATATTTAGAACATTAAGCAATAAAATACAATATGCTTCAAACTATGTTTTAATCCATAAACTGTAAGCAATCCTCTCATTGCTGAAAAATAAAGTGCCTCATTTTGTACCCTTTTCATGTTCTACCTTGATGCATATCACAGTGAGCAAGTAGTGTGTTTATGTGTTTATGAGAAAACTTAAAAGTTAATTGCCTTGGCTGTGTCATGAGTATTATTGTCTAAAACATTGGGGTAAAAGGTCATCATCCAATATTTAAGATTAGTTTAAATTAACAACTCAGATTGCTCAATTAGTATCTGGAAAACTTAAATGTAATATTTTGTATTAAAATGATGAAAGTATTTCATACACCTTGAATTTATTTTTATGTATGGTATAAATTGGTGATTTTTCTTTTTTTTTTTTTGCATGTAGCTGCCTACATCTCCTAATATCATTTGTTGAAGAGGCTATTTTTACTCCATTTTATGCTTCTGCCCACTTTGTCAAATATTAATTGACCATAGAGACATGCACTTATTCCTTGGCTCTCTATTCCATTCCATTGATCTATGTGACTGTTCTTATACCAGTACCAGACTGTTTTGATTACAGTGACCTTATAATATAGTTTGAGATCAGGTATTGCGACCCCTCCTACTTTGTTTTTTGTCCTCAAAATTGCTGCAGCTATTCAGGGTCACTTATGATCTCATATAAATTTTTGTAATGTTTGTTCTATGTATGTGAAATATGTCATTGATATTTTAATAGTGAATGCATTGAATCTACATGTTGCTTTGGGTAATATGGACATTCTGATGATAATTATGCTTCCAATGCATGTGTATGAATAAGTTGTGGCACCATAAAAGTCCTAGAGGAGAACAGGGGCAGTAGATCTCAGCTATTCCATGCAGCAATATTATCACTGACATGTCCACTAGAGCAAGGGACATAAAGAAAAGGATAAACAAATGGGACTTCATCAAAATAAAAAGCTTCTGCATGGCTAAAGAAAGTATCAACAAAATGAAAAGGGAACCAAACATACGGGAATATATATTTGCAAATGATACCTCAGACAAGGGTCTGATTTCCAAAATGTACAAAGAACTCACATGACTCCAGTCCAGGAAGACAAGCAACCCAGTTAAAAAATGGGCAAAGGACCTGAACAGACACTTCTCCAAGGAAGACATACAGTGGCCCAGAGATACATGAAAGGATGCTCAGCATCACTAGCTATCATGCAAATTAAAACCACAGTGAGATACCCACTTCACACCGGTCAGAATGGCCATTATAAACAAATTAACAAACAACAAGTGTTGGAGAGGTTGTGGAATAAAGGGATCCCTAGTGCACTGTTGGTGGGAATGCAGACTGGTGCAGCCACTGTGGAAAATAGTATGGAATTTCCTCAGAACACTAAAAATGGAACTGCCTTTTGACCCAGCAATTCCACTGCTGGGACTACACCCTAAGAACCCTGAAACACCAATTCAAAAGAACCTATGCACCCCAATATTCATAGCAGCACAATTTATAATAGCCAAGTACTGGAAGCAACCTAAGTGCCCACCCGTAAATGAGTGGATAAAACAAAAAACAAACAAACAAACAAACTATGGTACATTTACACAATGGAATACTATGCAGCAGAAATAAAGAGCTCCTACCCTTTGCAACAGCATGGATGGAACTGGAGAACACTATGCTGAGTGAAGTAAGCTAGACAGTAAAAGACAGACACCATATAATCTCACCTGTAAGTGGAACCTAATCAACAAAACAAACAAACAAGCCAAATTGAACCAGAGATACTGAAATAAAGAACAAACTGACAGTAACCAGCAGGGAGGGGTGAGAGGGATAAAGGGGGAAGATAAGGAGTATGTATAAAGAACACAAGGACAAAGCCAAAGGGGGTAGGTTTGAGGGTGGGAGGTGGGGATGGGTGGGGTGTGGTGGCATGGTACAGGGGGAATGGAGACAACTGTATTCGAATAACGACAAAAAATTAAATAAAAAATAAAGCTTATAAAAGAAGAACCTATTATAACATGCAGTATCATCCTAATTTATATACATTTCAGTTTAAATTTTTCTAAGACCAATTATAATCACTATATCCATGAGAAAAAGTTGATAATTTCTTAGAAAGCAGGGCTCCCTGGTTGCTTCTTTAACACTAGAGTTTTAAACATGTCTCAGTATCTATCTTACTATTCCTTCTAAGCTTCATATACGTTGCTAAATTATCACAGAGATATAGCTAGATAGTGCTATTCTGCTTAGTTATGCCATTATCACACAGACATTTGGCATATTGTAGAGAACATTGATATTATTTGATAAGGAAAGTTGCTCATACAACACTTTACAGTATACAAAAGTACTCAGGTGTGCATCATGGTTTAATTCTCAGAACATCCTGAGACACTGGAAAGTTAGATACGATTCTGTACATGCAGACACTGTGGCTCCTCACACAGAGGTGGGGAGTGGGGCCAGCATGGGGACTTCCAACTCACTGAGGACAGGACAGCAGGGACACATAGGGGTTCTGGACATTTACTGAATTAATCAATTAATTAAATCTGAGCTTAAATTTAGTCTTTTAGAAGTCCCGTGCTTTTCCTACAACAAAACACTTACTACGGTATTGTTAACATATTTTAACAAATAGAGCCCAGGGTCACTTCGTGGGTTCAACATAGAAGACAGAAAAACAAAACAAAACAAAAACTTCTCAAGGACTGACTCTTCCTTTCACTTCGAGGACACAGGCTCATCATTGTTATGTATACTTCCCACTTTGATCAATCAACACTCAGTTTAGGAAGCTCTCAATCTATAGGGCTTTGGAAAGCTATGTGTCTACCACAGGGAAATTGTGAATGTATTCAGAATGTATTCAGAATGTAGACTTCTTCAAAACATTTTTATGCCTTTGTTGTCAAGAGAAAAACAGATGAGATAAAACAGGGGTCGTTGAGCCTCCAGGTCTAGAAACAAAAACAGAGGCCCTCAGTTGAACTTCACAGTGACTAGATACAAGTTTAACAGTATGTAAAGAGTATTTGCTCTTTAGAACTCGAATGCTGAGGCTCAAGGCAGAAATCAGAGGTAGCATGGCTTTGACCCTACCATGCATAGCTTAACTACTTCAGTTTTATCCTATGTGGTCCAACAAGGCTTGACAAAGAACACTGCTGAATGCAAGCAACTCTCCGGCAATGATGCGTGAAGACAGAGAGATTTTTCAGTCAATTGCAGGAATTAGGCTGTAATGCTTTCTGCGCAGGGACTTCATCCCTCAGCTAGCTGACACCTACCAACTGAATGTTGGCAGGCAACAAGACTGCCGAAGCTGAAACCAGGAAGCTACGTTAAGCAGATTTCCATGAAAGGACAAAACCCTTTATTCGTAAAGCTGCTTTTCTTTATTGCCATTCAAAATGTGTTTCCTCTTTTTTTCCAGTCTCTCAGTTTGGTCAACTCTGTCTTTCTCAAAATTAGCTTACAAAATTGTCCCTTAAAGAGCCAGAAAAGATAATAAATGCTCACTTTTAAAAAAAGTTGTTTTTTTTTTTAAAAAGCACAATGCTAAACATGTCAATTTAAGAGAGTAAAAGTGATCACAGTCCTTAAAAAACAAAACAAACCAAAAAAACTACAAGACAGACAGAAAGACATTAAATATGTTACCAGTATGTGGAAGTTCGATGGGGGTACAGGCACCGTTTTTGGTTCCATGTTTAGATGAAGAGACCAGTTTTGCAACGAGGGCCGCTGAGATGGGCTGCACTAGAAGAGAGGTGAGGTTTGCTCGGTCTTGCCTGAAGCTTCCAACTGTATTCAAGACATAAAGGAACAGAATCCTTTGTCAAAAGAAATTAAAAACACTTGAAGAGAAGTTTTTTGTCATTAGTATTTACATTAGGAATGGTAAGTTTATTTTGTTCATCCGTTTGCTCCTTAGTTATATCTGTGTACTTATTAGAAATGATTTGAGATACTTAATAAAAATTCAATCCAAATACTGTTATGCATCCTAATTAATGCTAGCAGATTGAATGCACACACTTACCTCCATTCTCCACTGAAATGACAATAAAGTAATAAAAAAAGCATACATCCACAGGGGCCAAGAGAATAAAAGAGACAATAGGGTTCTACAAGCTGTAAAGCAGATGGATAATTGTCAACTGAAATAACAGACCAAGGAGACCAAGACCTAAGCCAGCAGAGAGGGGAAGCTGAAAAATAATGCAGTTTGTACCACACAACCCAGAGAGGTATAAGGACGGACAATACCAGCTACCAATTCAAGTAAGGATAAAGAAGGGGATAGAAATAGGAGAATTTGATGACATTCTGAATGTGACAGAGTGTCTCTCTCCTGAGCCCCTCACTCACCCTGTCCACAAGAACAGTGTCTGTTTCTCTCTCGTTCAGTCCAGGAGAATACTGAAAGTGGGATGTAAGCAGAAAGACACCAGGTAAAGCGAATGGTGTGTCCCATATTTAAAATGGGACGGTGTTATAATTGCTGAGGCTCTTCAGATATTTTGTGGCCTTGGTGTTCAGAATCCTCCTTCTAGTTAGGGCACCAAAAAATGCACTTCTATTAAATATCACCAGGTCCATAGAAAATGTATAAAAATACTTAAAATCTGAAAGGCTACCAATAAAACAACTTACCCAAGACACCCTACATGAAGATCCATCACACAATAAATTCCACCCATGCAAAGAACTTCAAATAAACTTAATCAGTTTTGGGACTCTTAAGTGGTCAGTCTCATCCAAGGGCAAGGCTAAATAAAATGGCACAGGTGCAGGAGACCTAGTGGGCACAGGGGTATAAGGTCAGGAGGCTGGGGAAGGAGGTCTCCCAAGACAAAAATAAGGGGATACTGGGTACTGGTAATGTCTTTGAAGAACATTTACGGTAAGATCAGAGAGTAAGCACTTGAAGAATTTCTAGGTACAAAGAAAAATGAGAAATTTATAAAATGAGATAAATCTAAGCTTTGAAGAGAATAAAAAGGTTTTCAAGAAAGAAATGTAATCATTGCACAATGTGAATATTTACATAAGCATAATAATATAAACCATGGCGTTTTAACACAATATTGATATTATTCTATAGGGGAAAAAAGTCAAGGGTGAGGTACATTAGAAACTTGTGAGAAATCTCGGCTAAAAAAGTAAGCAGAAAAAACCCCAAACCTCCCCTCGGCCCAGGGCACCCGGGAGAACCCACCCCCAGGCCGACAAAGCCCCTCCCTCTCAAAAAAAAAAAAATAAAAAAAGAAAAGTAAATATTTATCTTCTATGGTGGTATGTCAATATAATAGGTAAAACTGAAATATGAATTCAACTCTTTAAAATGTTCTTGAGACAGAGAAAGGTAAATATGAAAAGCAGTTAACAATTTAAAATGTTGACAGCAATTAAGTATTTGACTTTGAGAGACAGAGCATTGAAAGGATACAAGGAAGTATGGGAGAAGGTGACACATTCATAAAGCTGTTTATGATTTGTGTGCTTCTTTCAGTGCATGTTGCATACAATAAAATGTTCAAATATATGTGAATATATACCTGTAAAAATGGAATAGTTTAAGAGAGATTTTATTTGAGCATTATGGCCAATTTTTTAATTTTATTTTCTTTGTTTTTCTTTTCTATAATGATCATGGATTCCTTGTAAAAAAGGACATAAAAGGGAGAAAAAGAATAAATATATTTTTATAAATTAAGCTTTGTAGAAATACTTGACTATATTCCTCTCTAAGTTTGAGAAAAAATAAATACTTGTGATAACACAAGTAAGGGAAAATATGTAAGTACTCAGAGTAAAGAAAATGGAGAGAATAAAGTAAACTGTGCTTAAGGAAAGAACTGAAAGATACCTTATTCAGTTTATATATTTATCTTGACTCAGAAAAATAAATACACAGCAGAATGACTTCTCCAGGCAGCCAATAATGTTTGTGAACACAGAGCTATATTTTTTAGAACTTTTATTAGGGAAAATAATTGCCAAAGGTTTTCTTAGAATTTAATTTGATAAGACTGCAGGGGTGCAGAACTCAATGATACTGGTATCCAGGCTCCAGGAGACAAATTACAAATAGGAAAATACATTACAGAAGCTTTTCCTTAATTCATCAACTGGGAAACTACAAGGCTAAAAAATGATACTTAGCTTCGGCCTATGGCAATCACATAAGCCATGGCTTTGAAGAAAAAAATAATGAAGATTCAAGCTTAGAATCGGTTTTGTTATATAAGCACTCTGCCACTCTCTTAATTTAGTAGCCCCCTTTCCTATGGATATATGGCAGTGCATTTTGACCATCATGCAGCTCATTTCTAATCAATTTCTTGTCATAGTACCAAAACAAGCTATACAATTTGCGGATCCTATAACAAAATGCCTATACATGACTTCTTGTTCATATGGTATGGAGAATTTCAATATGGCAGTAGCAGAGAGTTAAATTAGGTGTGAGTCTTTTTAAATGGGGTTGTCCTGGAGGTTACACAGGTTACGTGTCCCTGAACCAGGTCCTGGTTCACACAGAAGATGCTTGAAGCAGTACAGCTTGCTGAGCTAAACTACAGGAGACTCTCAGACCACAAGGAAATTGCTCTTAGCCACAAATGGCCAGGCCTGGGTGTGTTGCTCTAGTCCTACTTGGAGTCACAGTGATAAATATCTCCAGGCATAAACAGTGTGCACACCAGCTGAAAAGCCTCGGTATAGCCATAGCCTCTGCTTCTCCCAGTATGTCTTTGTCTCCCTTGGCCACTACCTTTGAAAGTTTTAAGGTACACAAGACAAGGGGATACAGTAGTTCCCCCTTATCTGCTGTGTTACTTCTCTAGGTTTCAGCTACCCACAGTCAGCTGAGGTCTGAAAATATTAAATGGAAAGTTCCAGATATAAAAATTAATAAGTTTTAAATTTCACACCATTATGAGTGGCATAATTAAAGTTCTCACCATCCCAGCTCACTCCACCCTGGACGGGAACCACCCCTCTGGGCAGCATGTCCACAGGTGCCTGCTGCTCTCCTGTTAGTCACTTAGTAGTTGTCTTGGTTATCAGATCAGTTATCAGGGAGAGAGAGACCACATTCACTTAACTTTGCATACAATATATTGTTATATTGATTTTGTTCTATTATTGTTATGACTGTTAATCTCTTACTGTTCTTAACTTACAAATTAAACTTTATCATAGGTATGTACATATAGGAAAACAACAGAGTACATGTAGAATTTCCGAGTATCCACTGTTTCAGGCACCCACTGGGGGTCTTAGAACATATCTCCTGAGGATGGGAGCAATACTGTAGCATTTATGAGAAATGTGCAATCTGTTGTTTGGAAGTTTTCATGGATGTTGGGTGTTCACATGTTACCAACAGAATGAAACTTCTTAAAATTCTGCATAATTTCACGCCTCCCCAGTTCAAATACTCAACTCTTTAGCTTGCCATTCGAGGCCCTTCACAATCTCAGGCATATTTCCAACATAATTTTCCATCACTCCTCTCCATATGTCTTATCCCCAAACTTAAGCTGTCACCTACATATTCTGTGATTCCCATCCTCCATGTTCTTCCTTAAGTCCTTCCTTTCACTCCACTTGCTCTTCTCATGCATCACCCACGTCTGATGCCACCTCACAAGTCACTTGCTACAAGCTTTCTCTGATATGCTCAACTCTGTGTGATATATTTGCACCTTTTTTTGTGGTGCTCACCATTTCTAATTAACATTACTCACTCTGTGCAAACACTTTGTTTTTCCCTCTTAACAACAAAGTGTCTAAATTCCTTGTAGGCAAGGCCCAAGTCTGCTATCCCATTATGTGATTCTCAAAACCTCCCAGATTGCCAGGAACATAACAGGGGCTCCATAATGAATGGAAAGACAAAAGAAAGAATCAAGAATTACTAGAAAAATAATTTCAATGATTCTCTTTTACCAGTTTTCTGAATGCCTAGAGAATGGAGTAGAGGTACAAGCAAAGATAAATGATGCTTTTACTAATCCCATGCTGGCTATAAGTTTATGATTTCTCCCCAGCTAATTGCTCTCCCACAGCTGACATAATACATAGGCTTTCAAAACCCACCCATCCCATCAATCCACTGATCAACCTTGCTCTAACATTACCTCTTGTGGGGAGAAACATTTCTATAAATAAAATCATCTTTGTGATATATTTATCTGTTAATAAAAGGTCAGTAACCATGTTCTCTTTTCCTCTATAATGATCTATTAAGCATATGAAACAATACATTTAAAAGTTAAATATGAATGAAACTTTGAACATGCACAAATCTTTGATTTGTTGTGCTGTATAACTAACATACTTGCATTCATTTTGAAATATCTGAAGTAAGTGGTTCATTAATTTTTCACCTTCAGCTTATTGGAAATTTGACAAACGGTTCACTTCTGAGATCTAGTACTGAAAGCGAGACTTTACAGGACACTAGGAGGCTTTGAATAGAATCAAACACATGTACAATTTTTATTCAGTTATATTTTAAAACATTAATTAACTATAAGAATCCATTAGATGTGAGATAAAAATCAGGAAGATTTCACACTGGATGAAAAAGGCATAACACAGATAAGACTCTGACATTACTTTGTAGCACTCTCACTTTTAGATTGCAGCATTTATAGCATCATACCCTCTACATTGTGTTTTGCTCAATAAAATCTGATTGACATCAACTTTTATTTTCCTAGATAGCTAGTTCTCTCTTCACCTTATGCACTCTTTGTAATTCAGATAAAGATCCAAATGGATCCATTTCT